TACACTGTGGGGTCCAGGCAGGGCCCCCTTTCCCCTCTAAAAAACAGCTCTCACCCACCTCAAGCCGCATGGTTAATTAATCGGTCAAAACTTGCATGTGAAAATACCATTTCCCTGGGGAGGAGGGTCACCACTAGAAATCAGGCAGGACACTTTGTGGGGGGCAGAAAATGTTCCATAGCTTGATCTGGGTGGTAGTTACGTGAATGTATGCACATGAAGGACTCCTTGAGCTGGATGGACCCTAAGACCCGTGCATTCTGTGGCAAGTAAACTACACCTCAGTGTAAAGATGCATGTATTTCACTTCTGAACTGCACTCTGTGAACTCTCTCACCGCCCTTCCCTGCGCCTCCAACCTTAGCCAGCTCTTCCCCCTTGCCACCCCTTCCAGCTCAGAAGACGAGGGGGTGTTATGACAGCCAACTCTCCCCAACCTGGGTGGTCCTGGGACCTTTCCTCGGGGAGGGTCCACCCTCGCTCCCACCCTCCCAACTTACACCTGTGCCCCACTGGCACGTTCTCTCCAGCGCCCAGCACTGGACACCCCCTCTATCCACCACTTTCTGACTTGTACCCACTCACTATCCTGAGCCACCAGTGACCTTGGAGCACACCTGATGGGGCCCTTCCTTGCCTTAGGGGCCTCCTGCCTTCAAGCAGCGACCCCACTGGTCACTCTCATCTCCTCCAGGCTCCACTGTCTGCCCTGCCCTGTCATTTGGCATCTGCCTCTGCTCTTCTCATCACTGTCCCCTTGCTTTTCTGACACTCTCCAGTGACCTCACCTATTCACCCATCTCTGCATCTCAGGAGAGAATGTCTCTCCCATGTCTCTGACTCTCTTCCCAAGTGTCCCCCTGACCCGTTCAACTCAGCATGTTTAAAATGCAGTTTAGGGGCGCCTGGGTGGCTCAGTCAGTTAAGCATCCAACTTCAGCTCAGGTCATGATCTCATGGTTCATGAGTTCAGGCTCTGTGAGGACAACTCAGAGCCTGAAGCCTGCTTCGGATTCTGTGTCTCCCTCTCTCTCTGCCCCTCCCCACTCGTGCTCTATCTCTGTCTCTCAAAAATAAATGTTAAAAAAAGAATTTTAATAAATAAAATAATAAAAAATCCAGTTTATTATCATTATCCCAACACACTCTCGCCTTTCCTATGTTTGCCATCTTTGCTAATGACATCACCTCCGGCTAGTTACCCGGGATGGAGACTCGAGAGGGGCACGCAGCGCCCTCCCTCCTGAATCCTCACAAGAATCCCATGGTCCTAGCGGGTAGCTACTGACATTCTCCCCATCTTGCAGGTGAGGACACAGAGGCACAGAGACATTCTGGGTTTACTCAAGAACACATAATGGCGCTGGGAGGATGTGAAACCAAAAGCCTTCCCTCACCTCCATCGTAATGTCCACTACCTTCTGTAGGGTGGTCATGGGAGGAGCCAATCCCCTGCCTCCCACGTCCCTCCGAGTCGCTGGCAGAGACTCTTGTCCTTCTCCAGC